GTATTTGCACTAACTGGTAAGCGGAAGATGGATAGAAGACAATGGCTTTCTGACATCTGCTCATCGTGTAACTCTTGTGGTTTTGTGTGAATTCCTGTGCAGGGTTATGTGTATATTTTTGATCACACACTATAAAACACCCGGTTAGGGAACATTCTACTATCTTGTCAGGCTGTACACACTTCAAGGATTTAATCACAATCGGATGTCTGAACACAGCTCCAAGGAACTATTGTTTATATATATTTGGCTACAATGTATATCAACTGCCAGATTAATTTATACGCTTCTTTTGTCTTCACCGACTTGCCTACGAGTTCGCACCAGCATTTCTGCAGTTATAGTGTATTTCTCAGGATAATTGTGTGTTGCATCCAATCTTAGGTCACCTTCTCATGTAACTAAATGTTTCTTGTTCCCATATTCCCAACACCCCTTTGTGTTTAATAGCAACTTGTGAATAATTTGACAATTTTTCATTATTTTTGGCCAAATAATGTAAACACAGTGATTGTTTAATTCTTTAGTGGTATTTAATGAATTCCATGAAAGATTTTTGAATCAACATCAGAGTATTTCTAATAATACTAATAATTTAGCATATACTCTAATAATTTAGCATTTTCAATGAATACATCTTTTTGATTGTCAAAAAAATGACACCTCTGCATAGACCAAATCTTACCATGTTATATTATAGCATCTTTAATCTTACATTGAATCTGATTGATCCAATATGATTATGATTGATTCTTATCAAAATAATCATTCATTCATGCCTTGCATGTTCTTAAGATCTTTAAGGTGTGGCATTTTTTCAGCAAAATCGAAAGTTGCCATGGATACAGTAGATAAACCATACGAGATCAGGCAAATATTTGCGGCCTGTTTCATCTCAGATAATATACAAAATAAATATTGTTGTGGTGTGTCAGACATTTACCAATGCTGCTTTGAATGAATAACATGTGTTTACTAAATCGAAATGATTACAGCACTCTTGCAATGGACTTGAAGTTGTCTCCCTGACTGGCAGGACATCTACAATAAACAACCAGTTTCAGTGCACGCCTGCACAACAATTTTACACCTTTTGTGTTTAGATAAGTACTGAATCCACTTTGATAGTGTGGAAACATGCTGCCATGGATGGTCAGACTGTGAAAGACAGTGAGTGAGGAAGGCATATCTTAAATGAGCGGTTAAATGGCACCCTGCCGTCTACAGATTGGAATGCCACATAGATCCCTAAATTTACTTTAAATAGTCTTAACTTGATATGTGAGATGAATGAGACTGTAGCTTTACCGATTACCATTTCACATTGTATGGGAATGTTTTGCCCCACCCCTACTTAGAATATCTTCAGTAAATTTTAATACGAACATGAGCTTGTTTTTATTTATAAACGTAATTACTGTCTGTCCGCAATATTTGCACGCTTGTCATGTAGAGTGGTCTGTGTGCGCAGAATAAAAGCAAAAGCTCCCATAATTATGTTTATGTACGCCGACTGAAATCCCAGGGTTGTAATTATCAGTAATTATAAATACTTTTCAACATGTCTGCTTCCTCAGCTGGAACCATTGTTTGGTGTGAAGTGCAGAGTTTGTGCAGCTTAATTATGACATTGTACATGACTAAATGTACAAGTCTGCTTTAGGCCTGCAAAACACTTCCAGTGTATAATCACGCTCAAGTCTGACTTTAAAGAGCTCATTACAGTTAGTTTTCTAAAGAGCAGCTTATTAAACACAGTTACCTAATAAGCATCTTTGGTGGTGCAAATTGGTAAAAATGGTAATGGGGTCTGATTAGGCCACGTTTCAATTACGACAGCTTTTCACTCCCCCCCCCACGCCACAAAAAAAAGCCTCAACCCTCCCACCTTCCCCTCCCCCAAATCAAAAACGAGGAAGCAAAGTCCAGCTCTTTATTCCTGGGAATCCTCCTGGAAGGCATTTTGCTCTCTCCCTCTCTCTCACCCTGTGTCTCACATACAAACGGGCAGAAAGAGGAAAAGAAAACCGCTCTGCCACCTCTGTGCTTCCTTTCAGCAGCACAGTAATGAATAGAGAATTGTGCGAGCGGCGGTCCAATTTACGCACTGGGAAATTGGATGGACAGAGTGGAGGCCCATTCTTGTTTGCTTAAAAAACGTTCTAGGCTACCAGATTAATAGTTCCCCAAAAAGGTCAGCATCTCTGTTTCAGCGCTGATGATAACTGAACCAGAAATTAAACACCACAGCGTAGCATAGCAGTATGGAGTCACATGGCCAGTGCATTTTCCCAGTTTTTTTTTCTTCAAAAAGAGTGAGATAATCTAAAGCATAACATGTGTTTTATTCCTAAATTCAGCAGGGTTATCATTCAGAAATGAGTCAACTTTTAAGACACATGTAACTAGAAATATTTGATAACTGCCAAAGAATACCATCTCATAGTATCATCGTCTCCGAGATCCGAGCCAGAGGATTATTCAGACAAACACAATGGTCCAACAAAGGCTGTACTTGTTGATGACTGATCAGTGGAATTTGAGCCGGAGGCCCGAGGCTATCTGACAACATTCCGCGAATGGAGCGCTCTGTAATTATACTATTTCTAAGAAAGACAAAGGGACATGTAGATGTTTTATTTGAATTTCCAGGCAGGAGGAGTACAACCGTTTTACCGTAATGCCAAAGTACAAGATCATTATGCTAATGCATGCTTGTGTGTGCACAGGGCTGCATTGTGTCTTTATGTGTGTTGGTGTTATCTACTTAATTGTGTGTGGATGCATTTCTATATCTACAATATAACCGTTGTATGATTGAAACTCTTATCCTTCAAATAGTGAGTTTAGTAGAAAAAATATGAAGAGAAAACTAGTTGATTCACTGAATCTTTTTACAGCACTAATTAGAATAAGATGCATTGCTTTATTGCTGTTGAATACAAAATCTGTTTATTTAAAACTGTTAAAAAAAAGCCCTGTTTTCTTCAATTCCTCTTTGTATGTTCTGTATTAATAGAATATACATTGTTTGCCTGTGGAAAAGAAAATCCCTTGATTTTGTGGGTTACTTTGCATGTACTGAGTATGTTTATTACAGTGTGCTGTACTTATATAATTAGCTTGGAGGGTTTTCTCTTTCATAAAATACCTGATCCTCAAAGATCTCAAGTACACGTTTTGAGCAGCCCTCCTTGGATTGTCCAAAGTGGCGCATTGCTCAGGGAGGATTAACAGTAATAGAAGAATCTCAATCAACAATCTTTATGCAATTTTCTTATTGACAAAATGTGCCTTAAGGTGTTAATGAACTCTACTGAATGGTTTTACCAAAACATTCTCCAGATTTCTTTAGTAGATAACACAGCGGTAGTTGGTCTTTTCCAAATAATTATTTGTGATTTTGAAGGGAACATTTTATCTCATATTTAGCGATAATGCAGAGAAATAAATACATTCTACACTTTAAACAAAGGTATGTTAATGCATCAATAGGGACAGGCGGCAGATAAATCAGACTTTTGCCTTTCACCCACCTACAGACTTAACATTACAGCTGACCTATAGAATGTATTGAGGGACACATTCTTAAATTACTGTAAATGTATCAGAATCAGTGTAAAGTTGGGAGTGAGACATCTGATATTCGAAAGGGTGTCATTCATTCTTCACATCACTTCACTTCCACCTAGCACGAGTAAATAGTTCTGGTTTACATTAAATACTTTTTCTTTCTCATTGTTTTTACCTCATTCACCGCACCCTGTGGTTCTACACATCGTCTTCATATTGTATTTTCTGTGGTTTGAGGAACCTCCCTGTTGAAGCACAGAACGGCCACTGTATTTGTCATTTTGCTTTTTGCCTCAGGCTTTTTTTCTTATTTATTAGCTTGGATGGGTTACAACCACGTGAGCATGAATCTCTTTGACTAAAACCTTGTAAATTAACACAATTAGTGCAGCATCATCCTGCTAATTAGCTCATGGTGTCTGGTGTGCCGGGTGGGCAAATGGCTGGAAGGGAGTTGGACAAACATTGCGTTTGTAATCCGCCTCTGGACAGTGGGGTTTGTTTCCTAAATCCTGTGATATAGTCCTAACGTTGTGAAGTGTAAAGAATAGCGCTACAGCGCCTGATTAGCAAAGCCTTGGACCATTTAAATGACCATGGAAGGTTTTGTTAAATATATCTCCTCTTGTATGCTCTTCTTGCTTTTGGTCCGATTAGAGTTGATGGAAGATGTTTGTGGATCTCTGATTGTTTTGAGCCGTAAATCTCTTTAGTAGTCGACATTCTCTGAGGCCATAGTACATCTTCTGATAATCCCAAACAAGAGTTAGAGATGACAGAACTGGCAAAATCTTTTATTTGCAGATTGACTTGTGGATTTAACTTGATTATTCATGTCATTTAAACCCTCAAGGCCAAATAGAGTGGCTGAGAGACGTTGGAGAGAAAAAGACAAGTGAAGCGTGTTTGTTTTTTTTCCCCTCCCCTGCCTCACTCTGTGGACGAGGAAGCAGTAGGCACACTGGAAGTGGATGTAATTCATGCTGAGCTGAGGGGTTTGTGTGATGAAAGCAACAGAGCGCTGCCAAGGAAGATTGCTTTGCTGCGCTCCTCCAAGCAGATTTGAAACTGTCTCAGATGAGAGTTGGATTATAGACTGACCTGCTGTGTCTGTGTCATTCTGCTCTATGGTGAATTATGCCACGCTAACCAGGTGTTTGGTCCCACATGATACTCATACTGATCATGGTGTGTGTTCTGTTTATGTTTTCTTTCTGGCATATTGGAAACATTTGTTGACAGTTTTTCCATAGTCATAATAGCCTCTTGCTTTTTTTCTTTAGATACAAATATTGCATTGTATTTTATTGTTTATTTTATTGTATTGTATTATTATAGAACACTTAAAATGGTAAAATGTTATTGTCAATGATTACGACAAAACAATGCTTACTGTGACATATTTCTTCCTTTTGCACTATATCTAGGTTTAAAGATGCAGTGGACCCCAGAACACACACAATGGGCAGAACAACACTTTGACATCTCATCCACTACCCGCTCGCCAGCACACAAAGTAGAGGCTTACCGGGGCCACCTACAACGAACATACCAGTATGCATGGGCAAACGATGATATCTCTGCACTGACTGCCTCCAACCTGCTTAAGAAGTATGCAGAGAAGTACTCTGGGATCCTAGAGGGCCCAAATGAGAGAGCCCTGCTGTGCTCTTACTCTGATAGCACCGTTGGACTCATGAATGGACGAAAGTCAGAGAATGAGTCCTGGCAGGAGGGGATTTATCCAATGAACTGTGCTCCAGATGTTATATCTGTGAGCAAAGCTGGAATGACAGCTGCCCTACCCCCTACAGATGTGTCGGCTAGCATAGGCAGCTCCCCGGGGGTGGCCAGCAGCTTGTCTGAGCCCAGCTATTCCAGCAGCAACTGTGGAAGCCACACAGCCACTACTCTGCACTCCGGCCTCTCCTCTCAGGAATATGCTGCCAGCTACAACGGCTCCTACCTGCATTCTAGCTACAGCGGCCAGAGCACTCCAGCCCTCCCCTCCCCACACCCTTCCCCTTTGCACAGTGCTGGGCTCTTGCAACCACCGCCTCCACCCCCTCCCCCTACCTTAGTGCCGAGCTACAACGCCGGGTCGCCAAACCTTCCCAGCTACAGTTATCCTCCAACAGGGTATCCTTCTCAAACTTCTGTGGGTCCTGGTTACAGCCCTGGGGGAGCACCCCCTGCTTCTGCTTATCTACCATCGGGTATTGCAGCTCCTACACCAATCCCTCCTTCCACACTGCCCGGCTACACCTACCAGTCCCATAACCACACACCAATTGCACCAACACCTTTGAATGGCAGCACATCCAACTCATTAAAACGTAAAGCTTTTTACATGAGCGGACATGGAGACATGGACTCTAGCTATGCTAATTTCAACTACAACCAACAGCGCTCCTCACAGAGCCCGATGTACAGAATAGCGGACAGTGTCTCAGACTCAAATAGGGGCAATGGCTTTGACAGAAATGCCGAAGCATCGTCTTTAGCGTTCAAGCCGACCAAACAGCCAATGTCATCTGAGCAACAAAGAAAATTTATTCTACACTCTGGCAGAGCACTAACTCCTCCATCCTATGGATCAACTAAAAGCTCTGTGGGTGATCTCAGAACTGAGCCCTACAGCAAGTTTGGGTCCCCAGTCATGAGCGAACAAACTGAAGAGCACAGACAACACCTCTCTCACTCCCTAACAGGGCCTGACATTGGTGCAGCTACCTCGTCCATCCACGCTGCAGAGGAACAACTGAAGAGCAGTGATTCCAACCTGGTGGAGATGGTGACCACAGAAATCCTTCAGCAGGGCCCCCCAGTGGACTGGAGCGACATTGTGGGCCTGGATGTGGCCAAAGCTGCCATCAAAGAGGAGATACTATGGCCTATTTTAAGGCCAGATATGTTCAGTGGACTTACCACATTACCTCGCAGCCTCCTCTTATTTGGACCTCAGGGAACTGGTAGAACCCTGCTAGCTCACTGTATGGCCAGCCAGCTGGGGGCTGCCTTCTTGCAACTCAGCAGCTCAGCTCTGGTCACCAAGTGGCTCGGGGAGGGGGACAAGATCATTCAAGCTTCTTTCCTGGTTGCCCGGTGTCGCCAGCCAGCGGTAGTGTTCATCAAAGAGGTGGACCTGCTGCTGTCAGACCAGTTGAGTGAGGAGAGCCCAGTGAATCGCCTCAAGGCTGAGCTCCTCATGCAGCTCGACAGTATTCTGACCTCCGCCGAGGACCATGTCCTCGTGGTGTGCTCCACCAATAAGCCCGAAGAGATCCCGGAGTCCCTACGGAGGTACTTTGCCAAGCGACTGCTCATCCCCTTGCCTGATGGGACAGCACGACACCAGATAATCACCCAACTGCTCTCACAGCACAACTACTGTCTTAGTGACAAAGAGATGTCACTACTGGTTCAGAGGACAGAGGGCTTTTCTGGACTGGATGTGGCTCAGCTGTGTCAACAGGCCGCGGTAGGTCCTCTCCATGGCATTCCTGGCACTGATCTGTCGGCCCTCCACCCCACTCAGATGAGACCGGTCTCCTACCAGGACTTTGACAGTGTGTTTTGCAAATTCCAGCCCAGCATATCACAAAAAGAACTCGATGTGTACACTGAGTGGAATAAAATGTTCGGTTGTAGTCAGTGAAGGAGACAACTCAAACGCTATTTCTTTGAACCCAGTAGTTCAATGCAAAAAGGTGTCTGGCATTCATTGAAAGAGAAAATAATAACAATGGGGACATGAAAATATTATATCCAGAGAAAGGATTGTCCTTAGACAGAAGATCACCATCTGGACATCACACACTGGTAAAATTGAATTAAATGCTTTACATGGCTGACTTCATATGCTCACTAAAACTCTTACGATTTGGAAGAAGTTACCCCCCTTTTTTATTAAAAACTATAATATATATATATATATATATATATATATATATATATATATACACACACTATTCCGCTGATCTTGAGATTTAGTTGCTATCAAGTGCCTGAGGTGGTGCTGTTAATTTGTTTCTTTCTTTTTGCCTCACAATCTTCATTAGTGACATGTGCTAGTATAAAAAAAAAGCTTTAAAAAACATGAGTGTTCTCCAGCTGTGTCTGTTGTGTGCTTTCTGTGAACAGTTGTGTTAAATTACATTTATTGATACCATTTCAGTTGGGATTCATTTCCTGACAGGTTTTATCGATGTGTAAATCCTTTAATTACAATAACACTGACATGCTTTATGTACAATGTGATTGGTTTTCTATCAAGCTTACGGTATATCTGGCTGCTGTCATAGTATCTCCACTATAGATGGAATAAAAAAAATAATAATTTTACAAGATGACTTGTCCAAACGATATATTACTATGTAATGCTGTTCAAATATTGTTTCAGTAGTAATACACAGTGTTTCACCTAAATGTATGATTCTAGAATTAATTATTTTGATGTTCTCTATTTGAAAACTCAGGAAAGTGATGATGACATGTACAGTACCTCATAAACTTGTGGAGAAGCACCACTGCAAGAGCATTTGGCTAACATTTGAAATTCCAACATCATGCAAATGTAATACCTCAAAAAGCTCGGAATGAAATGATACGGTTCCTGAAATGAATGTATGAGAGTAAATGTGGTTTATTTTCCAAGACATACAAGTCATTTGTTTGGGTTTCTTTAAGCTGGTGGTGATGCAGAGCTGAGTGAAGTTCAAAAGTTGCAGACAACATCTTGGGGTTTAGGAAGACCAACAGCCCTGAGCTATTTCATTCCATCCTGCAGATGTTTTATCATTAATGAAACCTAAGGATTATGTACAGCCTAAGTTCTTTTCTACCTCAGTTTGTTAGTTATCTCTGAAAGACAAATACATGAAGAAAGAAAAATCAAGTCATGCCCTATTTCTCTTGTTTGGTGAGGAAACCCTTTGAGGGAGCATCAATCTCTTTTAGCTTTGCATTCTGAAAACTCCCAAGGACCACGTAATGCACTTAAAGGGGAATACCACTGAATTCACGCCTGGGATACACTCCGCCTTCGCCTTAGGAAAGAAATGATCTGTATTAGCTAACATTGACCATTGGATGTTGTTGCCAACGCTTGTTCAACCCCTGAATCTGGGATGTCAAATGATGTTCAATATGGCTTTAGAAGAAGTGGAATAGTCTGTCTCTCTCTGTTGCAATTCATGAATTGAGTGGCATTCCTTTCTAAGAGCATCTCTTGAAGGCTAGTCGCACTGTACACAAAAACGTTATTTTTACTCTGTGTTGTAATTTTCACATGTAATTGTTTGAACATTGTCATGTTTATACTGCTGATAATCACTACTTGCCGCCATTAACCAGTACATTTCCATTTCCAACATGTTGTTGGTAATGACAGAGCAGGACAGACAGCTGAATTGGCTAGTTGAAAAGGTTATTGAATGTATTATGTCCTCTGAGCAGAAAGGAAAACAAAGCACTCGCACATTGAAAAAGGCCATTAAAGTAGATAGCACTGTAGGTGGATGTGTACTGCAGAGAAACTAAAGGACCTTGTTTTTACAAGGGGGTCCCCTTATCTTTGCTGCCTATTGCACATCTTGTACCTGTTCTTTTGTATTGTAGATCACGGATATTGATTGATTGATACTGTACAAAAGTAGTTTTTTTTAGACTTACTGTATACATTCAGTACATCCGTGGGATCCATAGACAAATGAGTTCATCAAAGTCCATTTGGAAGTTTCAAACATGAAAAATGTGTAATTACACAGACAAATTAGGCCAATAATAATGTGAAATACGTTTTTCAAACCCATTAAATATTATGTCATGTGCAACTGCACTTTGAGGTCTTTATTAAAAGCAAAGAGAAACGGGTTTCTATTGACTATGATGATTATTTTGAAGAAATCGTGAGTTTCAGAGACGTTATTGCCACAATGTGAGTTGTTGATATTGGCATATCCAATTCTATATCTGTATCTAATTCCATTAGGCATTATTAAGTTATTATATTGCAGTATGTGAAATATATGTTGGTTTTTTAGAATATTTGTAATTTTTCACTTGAATCCAGTCTGAGTTTATGAGCAGTAATTCACTCCTCATATATCATGTCATATATCCCAAATTGTTTTGTCACACTAGACTATTGTATTTCTGTCCATGATTACTAATTTCAAGAACAAATTAAATCATTGGATGCTTTATAAGATGGTGATAAGAAGCCCTAAGTGCTATTATCCAGCTCAGATTTCCTGAGAAGGTGACTGAATTTACAGAGAGATGTACGTACGAAAGGGAAAGATGTTCCACTAAATTGATGTATTACTTGTAATCACTCAGACATCAACAGGTCTTGTCATATATTCTATTATTTTACCATTTGTCTCCCTACTGCCCTAAGTTTAACACAACGCAGGTGGATAAGAAGTTACCCTGGGAGGTTTTTAGTTGTATCACAACTAGAGAATAAATAGCCTTAAAATAAGATCTGATTTGAGAAAAACAATAGCAGTTAGTTAGATTGGGTGTTTATTTAACATGCTATATATTTAAATAGTTATTTGGTATCAGGGTTATGGGATGTCTCAACCAACACATGAGCAGAACCTTCGATAAGCACATTCAGTCTGTACATTGACGCCAACTCAGCCACTTGAATCGCTTTTTCTTTTTCTCTGTCAGTATTTCTATTATTTCGTTGTTGAGATCTGCTTAAGATTTTTATTCCATCTTGATGTAGTTTCATCATCTAGTATTGGTTATAACCATTTCTACCTCATTGCTACATATTGTACATGTAGTACTTATGTCCTGTCTTTTTGAATGTTATGCATTTGTGGATTAAAAAAAATGTTTTAAAAAGTGAAAAAGAAGAAATAAACAAAAAAAAATGCTTGCCCTTGATTCTGAGCAGTCTACCTCACAAAGACTGTCTTTACACTGTCAAGTACACAAGTCACAGAAAAAATAAGGCACCTTGAAAGCAACCACTATTCATACTGGCACACAGTTTATTTACAATAACAGCTTTCCATTGAATTACTGTGGGCTGGAAGGTCTTCACCAAAGGCGCCAAAGCAATTCCCATTCATTTCCTGAAAAGTAACAAATTGCTTTAATCCTCTGTGAAATCTTGTAGTGCGCATGTTAACGTGTATGTATGTGCGCTCGCAATCCACATCCAAGAACGAGGGGACAGCATTGAGATATGAAAAAGTTTTTACTTTTCATATTTATGTACAGAGAATAAACTTGCACATACCTGTATGTATTGTACATTTGCTAATGGTATACAGCATACATACAAAAAATGCACCACATACATGTTTATATGTGTGTATGTATCGCCATACTTACAGTACAGTCGATTTAAATGTATTTTAATTTCAAGATACATAAAGGTTATTGAAATACTGAATAAAAATGTTGTTTTTTTTCCTGAAAACTGGATGCATTTTGTAACTGTACTTGATTAAATTTGCAATGGTGTGATTGATTTAAGGCTCTGCGATTTCGGTGTACAGCTACTTCTTGTGGTAGTTAGTTTGTAATCAGAAATAACATGTACTATTCCACGACATGAAAACACTACATGGAAAACCCTGGTTTTACAGAAAGAAATCAAGCACATCATGCATTATGTTGTGAGTGCTAATCACTTGGGGAAAGATCCATTCTTTACACTTAAGATTGTAAATAAAATATGTTTTCATTTACATAGAGCCTTCCTAAATAAAGAGTCTTAGATAATATGGAGTAAAATCGCAGTATTTTGTTTTACTAAACCAAGAAGTGGGTAAACTGTTATTCCATGTTATCAGGGCTCTGTCTGTGTATGAACTCTCTCCCTCATAAGCGGTGATAAGCTTGTCAAGGTGAGAACACTTAAAGTGTTGCAGTCTCGCTTGGAAATCTGACCTTGGGGGATCTTCACTATGGGTCTATTCATCAAGGCTTTTATTCTGAACATTTCCCCACAGAGTGGAAAACAGGAGTAAGCCATTTAAGTTAAGTTTGTAAAACCCGTCAGCATTTTTTATTAAGATAATGATTTTTGCCACATTTGAATGAATGATGTACCTGCTAAAACATGTTTGGTCTTTTGATCTAGAAAATCTGGTGAAATCATTATGATCTTCACAATGTCTGAACATTCTTTTATTGTTTTACCTCTTACATGCAAAATGATCCATTCAATTGTCAATAGCAAGCTACATGGTAAATTCCATGAGAATAAGGAGTTAATGCAAAGTGTATGTGAAGACAGCTCAATACATTTTCATTAATATGATTTAGCCATAACATTATCCAACTGCATATAATAAAAAGATATAAAGCGATCAATGGATGGATGAAAGCATGGATGGATAGATAGATAGATAGATAAACATGGAAGCAGAAGAAATCAGGACAAAATATCAGGAAAATAAAGTTGAGTCAAACAAATTACACTTAAGTTATTAGTGGCTATTTTGTAAATATCAAAGATCCACTTGTCCCAGTGTTCTGTGCTTCATTTGCATTCTGATGAAAGTGGAGAGGATGTGTGTGAACTCGGAGGTTATCTGTGGAGCTGCAGCGCTGAGCAGCCGAATCAGACAGCTTCATACCGCGTGGCTCAAGAGGATGAGCCACAGACCTCTCTCAAATCACTTCCTTCATAACAATTAAAATATGCAAAGTGATAATTTTCCTTAAGTAGCCTTAAATGTGCAATCTATTTAAATGTGAGGGAAATTGCCTAAAGCTTGCGGTGTGTGTATATGTGGGGGGGGGGAGGAGTGGGGGATAAATTATGCAAATAACAGAAAGGACTCTTGAAAGCCTAATTTTTCTGTAATACGCATACAGTTCATTTAATTTTTTGCCTCTTATTAAAAGTGACAGTTCTTTTGCTGCGTCTGATGGCTATATCTGACACAAGCCCGTGGAAGTGACTGCTCGTCTAAATGGTAAAGCATTTTTGTAGCTTTTAGATGATGGTTACATTCACAAAGTAATTATGCACTAGAGAGTCCAGAAATAAGGTTTAATTACACAGTAATCGCTTCTGATGGACACTGGAAAGTGTGAGCACTGCCAGGCTGCAATCCATCAATGACAAACCTCTGGCCAGTTTTAATTCTTCCTCATTTGCATCATAACCTCAGCACCAAGTTGCACAAATGCTGTTAAATGTTAATAGGACCTGTCTCTCTTCTCAAAATGGATGCTTAAGCCATTTCAATTCTCCCTTTCCCTCTATCTACTTTTCCCACTCCCTCTCTCTCACCCTCTCTCCCTCACCACACACACACACACACACACACACACGCCCACACTCTATCTCACACAGTCCATATCTCGTCTCTCGCCTCAATTCTCACATTCTCGTGAGTCTTCACATAAATAGCCCCCCTTCAGAGGGAAAGCTGAGCACAGGAGACAGTGCACGGTCACCGCTGTGCTAATTGGGAGCAACGTGTAAAGTTTTATCTCTTGAGTGCTAACAAACCGTACAGACAAGTATTCCCCTCTTCCGAGTGCATGTGTGTGTGTGTGTGTGTGTGCAATGGTGAGACGCAGTCTGTGTTCCACACACACATTTTCACAAAGCTACAGAGCATTGAGGTTTGTTCACACCATGCGAGGGAAGGCCCTCAAGTTATACCGAATCCCCATCCTAAGGGACTGGAAGAAATTATGTTTTTATTAATTGAAAATTGTTATGGGAGCAGTGGACACGTTTCTGCTCCTCTTCAGAATTGTATTTGGTTGATTAAAGCCGGTATGTATCATTATCAGTCCATCTCCTTCGTATATTGTGAGTATACTACTCTATTATACCTAGAGCATGTCAGTGTATTTCAAATATGCATTCTGCAGCTGGCAAAGGGTGCACATTAGACCCAGTGGACCACTTGTGTAAACAGAGTGGACTGTGTTTGTTTATTCTAATAAATGCTTCTAACGTGGAAAAAAGGACATTTTGTACTTTACTAATCCCTACAGCATCAAAGTCACCATATACTCTTACTTATGATATGACCTTGTTAATCCCCAGGCACTTAAAGCAATTTTATCTTGATTTGAAAAAATAATGAGATGTATGGAAACAAAAGAAAAAGTCAAACCGTGACCCGTGAATATAATTAGTGTGTGAATGTTTTCGAAATGATGTTCCTGCAAAAAAATGTAACCTACCTAAATATTTACGTTTACTGAGATCTAGAAGTTACTGTCAGATGTTACTACCGAGAAAATAAGAGAGAAAATAAGGCTTCCCATATTTTCTATTACTTAAAAGCTTTCCAACATATTTTGCGCCTGCCCTTGGAAACACTGGCAGGATGTTTGTTTTCCCAAAGTGGGATCCACAGTGATTCTGCATGCATGTTTGAGGTTACACAACCTGGACTACATGTAGTTAGCATCCTATAACAATTCAATAAGTTTACGTCGATATCTTTTTAATGGTAATACAATATTGATTTTTAAAGGTGGTCATATTTAAAATGTGGTGTTTAGATGTGTTACTTGCCTGATAAAGAAATTCTGAAGGTATACCAGTAAACGGCTGCAAGCTATTTAAACTTAGTTTAATGAAAAATAATTACTATCTAGTAAATATGTACCTAGAGCATCCAAAGCAAATGCCCCCAGCAATGATGTAATGTTGTATGTTTCATATATGTTGTTGGAATCGTGGGAAAGTGTAGAAGATAACACCTTCACACACTTTTCGATTAATAAAAAACTCAGCACTTTTTATAAATACAAAATGTGCAATAATGGCTACTAGGTGTAGTTACTGTACAGTATTACATTTGAATACATTTCCTTTCTGCAAACTATTCCATCAGTTTCTGATGCTGTTTTTTTTCTGAAGTCTGAACTTGAAATCCCCTGGTAGTTTTACGTTGACAACGCTGGTGAAACATTTTGGGTGTACAGGTAACATACAGAGGTATCTGACACGGACGGTTTTTCCTTCTTGAAATCATCTTCTCCAATCTGCCACAAAGTTCCATCCCTCACACAGAGTGCAAGTTGTCCGACTCAGGGTGCAGAGGTCAACATTTTTTTCATTCAAAAGCCTCAAATTGGCAAAGTGAGGAAATCACTTGTATTTATAGCCGCGTATATTAGTGTTGCAGCTGCAGGAGAGATGTCCCTCTCTCCTTTAGCACATACTCAGCTCGATGGCCCCCTGCACTAGCGTGATCACGTCTAAATGTCCTCAGGTCAGCGCCATCAGCTATCCACTTCCTATGTTTATAACAGATTCTGGGTTGTGCACCGTATTATAGCTCTATAAACGCAGTGCGCTCCTGTTGTGTGATCTCCATCATTCAGATAATTCCTTTTTCACATTTTCGCAAAGTGACAAAAGTGGCGTGTAGTTGGTCCTCTTTGAAAAATATAATGACGGTATGACACACCGTTCCTGTAACAGGCCATTGCCGCAGGATGAAGTCATTAGAATGAAAGGAGGGATTCCCCGGAAATATTTCATCTCTTCATATATTGGAGTAGTATCTTAAATGGTGTCAATTCTCGTTTGCTTTAGCTGTTAAGTACTGCATCCATGTATTAAAGTGTATTCATACTTTAAGACTCGACATCAATTGTGACCTAAACGTCAAGTTTGTTCTTGATACATTACAGTCACAATTATGTAATCCCTAATGAATTGTCACCTCAAATGTAAATCCTTGAACCAATGACAGGGGAGTTGGAATATTTTATAATTTCTTTATTTAAAAGTTGATATTTTGAAATACTCATGGAGGCTTTGACTGGCCGTATTGGCGGATCTCTTTAGTGCGTCTTAACCCCTGTCCGGGAGCAAGTGGAGCTAATGGGGAGCAGAGACGGAGGACTGCATGTCCGATAGCCACACGTCCTCCAGTCAAGGCAATCATGGGAAACAGTGAACGTCACTCTTTCAATTTCATCCTTCCCACCGTGCGAGCCACCCTCCATAACGTCATTATCTCCAGCAGATCTGCAGGGTCCTCTGACAGGGCCATGTTACCCAGGCACCGGGGAAATGCAAATTGATTTCGTATCAGCCATGGCATTTTTAAGGCCTCCACATGTTACATAGATTGTCATTTCAGGCTCCGATATGAAAATCAGAGGGAAATGTCAAACTGCGGAGGGACCGTATTATACGCAGCGTGTTGTTTACCCGGATCACAGGCTCATGAAACACAATACTACTTAATGCCACGTTGTCCGTAGGCTATTTAAGAGATCTCTGATATGCTTATGATCTGTTTGAATAGAGGTCATTTTCTCTAAGCAATATAACACAACTTACACACTTTAACATTCCTAACTCACGGATTCCGTTTCTGTTTTTACTTGTGTTCACACTCTTGTTTCACATGCCCACACATTTTTCCTGGCAACTAGGCTGGTAAACAGGTGAATGTATTCTAACAAGCTAGCCCTATGATGAAGGGTGATAAAATGTGATAATATATAGTTGTCCTCACGTGGCCCACAAATGTGTTTTTGCAGTTAAGGTAAGTCATGTATAGCCTGCTAATAATTATGCATTGCTGATTTATTTGAATCTAGCTTTCACATGCATAACCTATTTAAAGTATGTATTGCAAAATGAAAAGAAAAAGCCATAGAAAAAGAGGGAGGGGGAAAAAAAGAGTGGAAAGCAGATGGTTAGAAACGGAGGGTCAAAACATTTTCAGAAGTTTGTCAAAATCTGATGATATAACCAATCTGTAAACTGCTATTGAACCCAAGCTTGAGGTACAGAGAAACATATTGAAATTCGTCCCTCCAAAAAAACACTGCATCTGCCAGCACACTGCCAGGAATGATTGCCCCGAGTCTTTTTCCTTGACTTGCCTCTTTCTTTCTGTCCCCCCCACCCCCCCACTTGTAATACGCATGGCTGCATGCCAGATGTGAAGAGAGGCATATCACAAAACTGTCAGAGCCTTATCTTAATACAAATAGAGTTGTCTGTCATCCAGCATTGAGTCATCAATTTTAGCCGGTGATGAGGCCAGTTTGCCGCACCTAATCATCAGTCTCGTCGGGAAGTCTCTGAGGCCGATCAGATAGCACTTGTAAATACTCGTAGCAACCGTGGCGACTCAAGCTCCCCAGGAACATCGAGTGGGCCCCATTATTGCTCACTCTTAGCTATGTCCAAAATGTCTTTTGTACATAAAGGACAGGCTGGAATAAAGCATGCAGTACACCCACATGTCTATTGATTAAAGCCTTTCCCATGCCTGCATCTGGTGATTTGTCCACAGTATAAAGAGCAGCTTTATATTTTTTCCTGTCAAAATGTTAGGTCATTTTATCAAGGCCAGCCTGTTCCACACAACAGCACAGCAAGTCTTCTGTTGAAAAACAACAAGTGGCAGTGAATGAATTATTGTATTTTCTGATAAAGGAACCTGCTGTCCTCCCAGTAGATATCATAGTTTACTACTGTGAGTAAATACCATTTTTTAGCCATTTGCACAAATCAATTTGTTTTACATAAAGTGAATTCATTGAAATGAGTGGGATTATGTTGTTTGGGGCAATACTTTACTTTAACTCCCCCCATTTTGCATTCAGAAGCAGGATATTACCATCTTGTGAATTGTTACTATACCGTAAAATATACCTGTAAGTTGATGTTTGCTTTTGCTGTTTTGAAGTGCATGTTTAGTTGTGTATTTGTGTGTAACCCCTCCTGTGGGAACCCATTGGAAGCTGCCGTATGAACAAATGGTAACTGACAAAATAAATACAGATGTGTCCACATAGGAAAGGATTGTAGTTGTAGAAACACACTGAACACACACTGAACAAATAAACAGTTTTTTCTTCCTTCAAACACTTGTTGTTTCACACTGCATACTTTATTGTGTGTTATAATTACCTTGAAGTGTGTACGTATTATCACTGTCTTAATCTTACTGATGACAAGGGCTGCGTTGCTCCTCTAAAAACACCGTCTTGCATTTTGCTGCATCCTTTACAATCATTCTGATGAGAACTTGAAAGACCTCTGCTAATGTGGGAGTGTGAGAAGGCCTGTAGCCTATAGACCCTGCTTTCATTCATCTCACTAACATCAGGGAGCTCAAGCTTGGCGTCACTCAAAGCTTTTTTCCTTTGAAATTCCCCAGGCACACCCACAAATTAAGCTCACTTCTGTTGGACCGAAGATGAGACCGGGGCCCTGAAGTAAGGCAGCTTTCGCTCCCTTTTCTCACAAGAGTTTGCAATCTATCCCTTAGAACTCCACAGACCTATAAATCTCTTCAAAATCTCTCTAGTTATTGTCAGTCTGATGGTTGTGAATGTGACGACTGCAAAGGCAAGAATACATTTTTATTTTTTCAAGCATGTACAGCAACTACTGTAAAGATTTCTCAGAGCCAGCTGCCGAAAAGAAAAGGAATGAAGGTAGTATTTTTACGCAGGTCCACTTGGTTGTGTATGGTATTGGAAATTTGACACTACCATCCATACATGTAAATATCGTGCTCCCTCATTTGTAATGATAATATATTGATGCTTGGTATCCAAGGAAAAAAAACACATTTTATATAAACTGTTGAATTTATTGATTGAGGGTTCATACAGTTGCAGATACATATTCATTAAAAAGTTTATATAAAAATGTTGCATGGATTTTTTTTTTTTCCGTGGATGCATCCATATTGCATTTATATATTTTTAAAGGACCCACTGCGTTACAGGGTTACTTCCTCAGACAGCAGGGAATGTGTATTCACAAGTTAAACCCATCCCAACTTGGAAGACATCTCATGACAGGCAATCACTCCTACAATGGGATTCTTCTCCACCAGAAAGATTCACAAGGAAAGATTATCTCAATCTATTCTGAGCACATTCAAAGGCAAGGGACCATGCACTCCCCTTTCCGAGTTCATTATCATTCCCAGGTTATCCCGGGCCCAGTGAATCTGGAACGCAAATGAATTAGTGAGAATTAAGAAGTCTCTGTGGTCTGAAACCTCTCCAAATCTCCTCCAAGATGAAAGGTGCATAGCCATGGCTTATGCACTGTCGTTCTCTTCGCCTGAGCCCCCACAGTAGTCCTATATCTACAGACGCGCTTCACGACCCCCCCTCCCCTCCTCCCCCTCTTGCCCCCTCTCACACACACACACACACAGTACCCGCTTCACAAAAATGGAAATGGTGCGGCCAGTTAATGTTGCCTAACGTCTCCTGACCGCTAGGTTTTGTCGTATGGGAGAAGTCGAGCGGGGCTGCCGGACTGACGCAGCCATCGCTGGCGATTAATTACGGCGCCGTGGCGCTGGCACTTCGACATGGTTGATCCCTCTGCAGGCCGGGCTTCCTCTCATCTCGGCCTCTCTGTAGCCTTCAAAGGGCTCTCCACTGCCTGCAAGACTGAACCTAGGCCTAGGCCAGGTAAGAAAGACGCCATGGCTCCAGTGTCACTACTACTTCACACATTTCAATGTGACTTTGGTTCTGGATTGTGTCAGCATTACTCGTCCATTTTCCAGCTCTTATAGTCAGTTATAACAAAGATGAGAATAGATGATGAATATGTGAGGACGTAATAGGTAATAATGATCATTTTGACAGAGTTTTAGATGTGTCTTTAGGTGTGAAAAGATTAAGGTGTGGTTGCCCGACACCACACTCCTAACCAAGCCTCACGACCATTTCTAGATGAAATATAGTAATGGTCCGTCTGTGCTCAGTATTTTTCCCTCCTTCCCTACCCGTCAAGCCAGGCCTTTGTAACAGACTGCAGAGGCTGCCTCTCCCCCTCAGCTCATTCAGCATCACACCCTGCCCTTGTGCTGGACATCAAATGACCAGCTCACCCCCTGAGGAGCTCTCAAGTTTCTTCATTTCAGCAGCCGCCTGGCTCTCCCCTGGTCAGCAGCCGGCCACGCGGGGAGAGGGGACATCTGCCTGTCTGAGGATAAGGGACAGGCTGGCTCACTATCCGTCTGTCAGCCCCTCCGACTGGACCCCTCAAGTCACTGCTCCACTCCCTCCTTGTTATTCTGTGGAGAGAGCACAGGGATCTGATATGAGGCATTGTTTGTGCCATGCTGGTCAGGCGGACAGAGCGGACTGAGGCTAATGCACATGGCATGATCTGCGACAGGAAATAACGCTGTTTGGCACAAGCTTCTGAAAACTAAAAAAAATCACTTGTTAGCACATTGTAACTGGAACATTAACATACATTTAATCAGTGGGACAGTAGGCTTTAAATCATGCACAAATTTAAGTCAACAGTGCTAGAAACCGTTGATGCATGCAAGAGATTGTCTCTTCTACGCTGATGTAAACGTGTTGCTTTAATGATTATTCTGTAATGATTATCTCTACCTAATTACACGTGGTTTGCCATCAAAGAAAGGCAGAGCGATCGATAGAGACATATTTACATAAAAATCTATTTCACCCTAACTGAAGGATAAGGACTGAGCTCCCTGGAGAAAGATGCCCTTCGGCTTTCTCGCCTGTCTAACCGGCCAAGTACGTTGTTTGCCTCCTAAACTTAATATTTGTTCTCTTCCTGCAATGATTATTAAATGGGGTTAGAGTGCGATAACATGTGGCTAAAGGAAGTGAAGAGTCTCACTAAATCAGTATACAAATGTTAATTACCCATCAAACTGGCGACCTGCTGCTTGAGTTTCAGTTTAATTGGATTAAATGGAAACTATTTTTAAAACAACCATATACAGTTTTTACGAGTTGTCTATACGTGTACTTCAAATTGTTATATACTCAAGTTTCATCATACTAGTACTTATTTTTGATTGGCTATTGCCAATGTAAAACCGAACACCGGTGTAGAATGTGGCTCCCCGGTGCACGGAGAGAAGCATTGCGCTGTAAATGATCTTGTGCGGCTGACTGCTGGCCAGCGGCCACATCTATACGAGCAGAGTAGGACCACTCCGAAGAGCTCACACCTCCTGGACCAAGCCGGAGGTGAAGGAGAGAGTATCGCACTCTGCAAGGGTAATTACTGCTGGCTGAAATTACTCAACATTTGTTTATTAGCTCCCCAGAGCACACTGTAAATAGATTGTCTGTTATAGTCCGATCACATTAAAACCTCGTGCTGCGCAACACCCCCTCCCCCTTCACCCCCCCCAATTCCCCCTCACCCCCCTCTCCCCCCACCCCCTGCGTTTGCTGTGAGCCAGCCTGCTGCTCACTTATTGAACAGCTAGAACCAAGGAGCCATGTTAAATGTGATTGTTTTCCATTAGCTACATCCTGTCTAATACCTCACTTGTGCGGTGCAATTACTGAATTCTGCCATGCAACCTTCATTAGCTGAATGTAGAGTCCTGCAGCTCCAATGGTCCCCTTACCATTTTTCATTTGTGTTTTTTGTATTTATGAGTGGGGTGTGAGTTTTAATTTAATATTGATTCCTACGTAGACACCCCGTGCCTGCGCTTTGTGTAGAACACGGTCACCATGTTTTAAGTGTATTGAGTGATCGAACAAAACAAAAAAGAAAAAAAATCTCTCCATGTATTCATCGTGCCGGTTCCTGTCAAAGATGACATTCTGAAACATTTGACCCACTAAGAATGAATTCTTGGCCAGAATACATGTGACAGTGGAAAGCAATTCAATTCAAGGAGATAAAAAGCAGAGGTATGCAATAGTCCTGTCAAAAGGGAAAAAAGACAGAGAGGGGGATGGAAAATGTGAATGAAATTTGTATTCACGAATGTCTGCACAGAAATCCTTTTACAGAGTTTGAAACAGGATACCAAATAACTCATCGCCAGACAACACTTGAACACTTAGGCGATAATAACCCAAACTGCTGTTTTGCTGGCAGAGACATTTGTAACAAAGATATTTAGGTGTAAAAATCTAAGCTAGAACTAAAACAGCATGCTTTGTGTGGCTGTGACAGGTGGAGCACGGCTCTCTGGGAGCCCGGGTAATAAAACGCTATCTCTCAGTGGCATCTTCCCTTTTCCTCTAATGTTACTCTAATAAAAGTAACTGCTGGGGTGACTACGCACAAATAAGGGCCAAAAGCTGCAGGACATCTACCCCAGCCCCCTGGAGTCCCATTGCACACACCTAATGGCCACTCCGAGCTTCATTAGGATATTAATTCTCTGCGTTTCTGAAGTGATTCCATCCTTAATGTGACAGCATCTGGCTGCAAGCGGGGAAACTTGTTGTTATTGTTGTTCCCTTCCATTCCACCCATTTTATCCTCCGACCCCCTTCCTTCCCTCAGAATATTTCTATTCTCACAGCGCCACTGTCTCAGTTTTTAAGAGGAATCTGATAATACTGGGTGTCCTTTGAGATGGAGGCCGGCGCTCTGAGCACTGCCAAAAGCTTTGCTCAATCTAACCAGGGGAGCAGATGGTCAGGTCCACCACAGGTCGAGGTAACAAGCAGCAACGCAAAACATTAGACGTCATTTTGCAATTTTAAATTCACGTCGCCTCTTCCCACCTGCAGGATGTCGGGGTCCAGGATTCACAGCCAGCAGCATGTGGAGCGCATGTGGCAATAAAGGATTTGTTTCTGAAAGACACATGGAAAAAAACATCATCAGGTAAAGTGAGGGAGGCAGAGTGTAAGCACAGACTTTTGTTTGTTACAACAACATTAACAGCTGCTTCAAAGTATATGAGGAGTTACTGACCTTTAGTTATTGACCAATACATTGACACTTTATTTTTATTTTAATTATCCTTGAATCTGCCTACAACTACACAAGCATGAATAATGCTGTGTAATAAACAATTTATCAATTACAAAACTGCTTTGTAGTTTCACATTCTTGTATATAAATTATATGTCCATTTTATTTAATGCATATCTGAAAAAAATGATTATATATATTGACTATTAGTCAATATGTACTAAACATTAATAATTGTACTCTGATGTGATATTGTGTTTTAAACAACCATGCGTTTTGGACTGTTTATAACGAAGAGCAAGCAATTTGCAGATATTAATCATTGGTTGCTTGAACTTAAACAGATTTTTCACTATTTTTGGTTTTATTCAGGGGACTAAATGGTGGATTTTTTAAATAATTGACATATTAGTCATTAATTGCAGCCCTGATAATAGTGTACAAATCATATTCATCTGTTCACTCATACACATCACATTTATTTGACAAAAATGTCATTCCATCACTGCTCTCACACCAATTAAACCTGAAACCTAAAAGCTCTAAACCAGTGTGATCCTATCACTTCTCTGCTCACATCCTATATCTTGAAATAACTGGGCAGTTTCTTGGAGAATATCAGAGAATAAGAGAAAGAATTAGGAATATTTAAAATGCAAAGAACTCTTCTCTTGTTTCAAAGACCAGTGATATCAGAAGGTTCAGGGGTTGTTGGGAGAGAGCCACTCATCTTTGTCGGTGAAGAATTCCATTCATCCCAACAAGTCTCCTCAAGATACAACTGAAGTGTGAGATTCTGACATTTCTGAAGTGAAATGATAATTGCCTTTAAAGACCTTAGAGGGAAAAAGGGAGAGGAGATGAAAGATAAAAGGTTGCAACTAAAGAGAACATTAGGGCGGTGAGACGGATGGCACACCACACAGACTAACCACATAAATAGTCATGAATTGAGAACTTTCTCCTTTGTATCCAAGTTAAGAAAGAAATATTCAGCGAGAGGCCAGCAGGCCAGACTAAATAATCCTTGACTGAGCCTCCTATTCTGAATCGCATATTAGCTGCCCGGATTTTAATGTAAATATGCCATTACGTTGTCATTACAGTGATCAGACGGCGTGGCTTACAGGTCAGCGTAGCCACTGTTAATTTAGCAGGCAAAAGCTTTTTTTCTGTCTTTTGAAATGTTAATAACTTTCTATTAGTTAATGTAGCGTGACTAAAATTTAAATTAGACATAATTTATTTTAATATCTGTGACTAGCTTGTCTGACCATTTAGCAATGGTCTCCTGCTGAATACAACTCTAAATTGTGCTAATTTGCATTTGATGGTTGAGGCACGGCTTGTCTCACTGTTTGCCGTTGTGAAGTCAAGGAGGATTCTTTTTTCGCTCCTTGAGGTGCAAGCATCCAGAATTGAAAAATGCCATCCGTCACATTCGATGCATGTGCTTAAAGCGGGGAAGGACTGCCTGTAATTCCTACTGAGAAATGGGACATCATGAAAATTTGTTTAATATTTCGAAGCCACCGACACTCAATTGTAGCAGAACTACAGGAATAACCTGTTGCTGATGGACACCAACCGCCCTCATGTGTTGACTGTACCAGATATCCTTCAACATCCCATATACTATATATATATATATATATATATATATATATATATATATATATATATATATATATATATATATATACATATACATTTTCCAAATGTTTTCCTTTACATGTTGTGACCCAGCTACTTGTCACTCACAAAACATGTAGAAAATAAAACAAATCCAGCACCACTCCTTCATCTTGTAGTAGAAAATTCCCACCAGCATGACAGCATACTGACATATGGTCATATATTAAATTAATTTACTGTCAAGTTACTATTTATTATCAAGTAATGTAAATCGTTTTTTCTCAGGCAAATCATTTCCAAGTACATACAAAACCCTAATCCTTTACCTGAAATTTGCACCGCCGTGATTTTATTTTGTACCACCCTGTTTACCAATGTTGTTTTTCAATTAAATATAACATTTGCAGAAAGCAAGCTAATCCTAACTAACACTGGAAAACTAACACTTTTCCATGTTGATAAGAGCATTATGAAAAATTATTATTTATAAAAAAATATTTTAAAAATAAATAAGGGGAGATTTAGAATAGATAAAAATTTGCGATTAATCGTGATTAATTGTGGTTGTGATTCATTTTTAGTTAACTATGACATACATGTGATTAATCGTGATTAAATATTTAAATTGTTTCACAGCAATATAACATTACATTACATTACAGGTCATTTAGCAGACGCTTTTATCCAAAGCGACTTACATTACACTTTAAAACCCATGGCTTTTTTCACATTTTTGCCCGGGGAGCAATTAGGGGTTAGGTGTCTTGCTCAGGGACACTTCGACATGGAACAATAATAACAATAATAATGATATTGAAAATCAGATGAAATTCTTCGTCACATATTGTATGGTTAATCCCTGGACGCATGCAAGGTCATGAGGATTTCTCTCACTCCCTTGTGCCCTGCAAAGCCCTCTCTTGCCTTCACACTTTTGATACAGCATGTAGCCGCTAGCTAACCCGGCTTGGATAGTCCCAGGGTGGCGTCTCAGGTGGGAAGTAGCCAATGGTACACCGGCAGTCATCGTCTTCATCTTTTTAAATTCTTCACCAGTCCACTGCTGACTCTGACGAAGAAATGGGAGGAGAAGTACAATCCCATTGCTGTTTGATGTTGCACATGATTAAATATGAGAGGTACGAGCAGAGCAGTAGGGCGCAAAGGAAATCCTTACACTCCAGGGATTAATGGTGAACAGCGGCAATACGCATACCTGCGTGGTGGGCAGGTGGTCATAAGAACGTATGCTCCAATTTTTAGAGATTATATATATATACATATACACATATTTCCAATAGTAGTATATAATAGTAATATATATAAATATATATATATATATATATATATATATATATATATATATGTATTACTATTGGAAATCTCATCCGAGGTTTAAAATATTTTTTTTATTCTTAAAATGTTTTCAGGGGTTGATGATGCCAAACTCAGGGACACTGGCAAAAGTGGCTGAGGAGAACAGGAGAAGCCCAGCTGATTGGAAACATCTGGGTGATTGTAGGGTGCACTCCCACATCATCCAGCGCTGGCTGAGATTTGACAGTGCCCTCTGAAGTGACAGCTTTGACCTCGGTCAGCGTGCATGCGTGCAGCTGCCAGAGACCGGTCTGGCTGAAAAAGAGGACAGAGCCAGCCGCTCCAGGCACTAGAGGGTACCGCAGCTTTCTGACGGGAGCTCTGTTGACAGCAAACGTTTCAGTCAGGGATAAAATACAACCAGCTCGTCATTGTGTTTGGTCCCAAAAATAACAGCTTATCAGAATATTTGGGGCACGTTGGGAGATGTGTGCTAGACATATGTGTGTGTGTGTGTGTGTGTGTGTGTGTGTGTGTGTGTGTGTGTGTGTGTGTGTGTTGTTTGCTCAAAAATATGAATTCCCTGTGTTGTGATTTTTATCATTTTCATCACTTTTTGTTGTGTTTCGATGTTCAATGTACAGTAGCTCTACAACAGTTCAGTACAATATATTGATTTTGTTCTAAAAAGTTTTTGCAAAATTATACTCCCATGCACTTACCAAAATGCAGCTGTTTTAAATCCAATGATCTTCAGCAGATGTTAATTGTTATTCCAAACTGATGGAAACATGTAGAATGCACACAATACCTTTCAGATGTTCCCTGCATGTTACTCAATGACAAACTGGGAATTCTACGCCTGTTTGTTTCTTTGTGGAGCAGGTTATACATTTTATTTTTTCCTTTATCTTTTAGCAAAGCATATTGATGCTCGTCATTAGATATTGCAGCTCAGCATCACCAAATAATGGCATTAATATTAATGCATATGGAAATTAACTTTTTTTAAGAGGAGCGCTTATTCATATTTGATTCATTAATGTAATGAATGCAAGGAATGCATAGATAATATGTTCTTGTGTCCTTGATATGCAATGGGAAGTATTAAACTGACTTAAATTCAAGATAGGTATGCCTAAACTGCAGCAATCTACGCTAGAATATAGAGGCCATAAACTCTCCGTAAAAGGACTGCAGAAAACCTACAATATTACAGATTAAACAAAACAGTGAAATGGAGTTAATTTGCATCACCCTGTTCTTTTCAGAGGAGCTAAACTGCTTACCATTATTCAAAGATATCTTTTAAATAAGGCCCAAATATGCGGGTGAAACCAATTTAACGAGTGGCCACCAAAGACGTTTGTCGAATGATCTATATTGAGATTTTCGCTGTGTAAGCCTCTTATCATAGCTGCTATAAAACACACATCATTCTGTTTCAGGACTGAATTTCAGAGATATGAAAATACAATAAATGTGACATTTTAAAGCTCAGCTTACTTATTAATTGCAAAACCATCTCAAATTGAACTTGGGGACTTAATAAGTGCAAATTTGCGTTGAGGAATGAGATTCACTCATGAAAAGTAAAAGAATCCTGGCTGATTGTGTTTCACAAGAGATGAAGCAAAGGTCCAGTATTGCAGGTCATTTTATTCAACAGCTAATCAAGTTGTGTTACAGGTGCTTTCTTTATTTAAGTGACTTATTTTTACTTTATCAGGAAGTGAAAATAAAATGACTTTGTGTCGGGTGTTGCCTTGCAACGTTTTTTGTCCATGTGCTCAAAAGGCCTTTTGCGGAACGTCACAAAGGGTTGGAAGATAATCACATTTGCATGTAGCAGGGGACAATAAGGACAACATCACTCAGACATGAGAGTTTAATCATCTCAAAGAAGAACAAATGAATGGATCCTCTTTAACCGTCTGCTAATAACCAGCATGGAGCAAAGGAATCGCTGAACACCTTGTTCAGCAGCAGCGTGATGCATCATGTGTAGGTGTGCGTCAACAGTATTGTGTCTTTAGCAAGCTTCCACTGCGAACCCTAACAGCCAACATCCAACCACGCAGACACATCCTGACACTCACAGACGCCGCAGCCCTCAACCTGTCAGCAGATGGTGCGGCTACTTATTTGCTTTAATTACCTGTTTGACATCAGCGATTGCTCTTGTGTCGAGTGAAACAAAAATAGTCTTTTCTATTAGCCAGCCATTACAACAAGTCCAATGTTACTGGGCAAATAAACTCACTAATGAGCTGCAAAAACGTCAGCCTAAGTTCACAAAAGGTATCGTGAATGATGTGATTTCGAAAGGGTATTAATGCTAAAAGTGATATTGAATTTAATGGAAAGGACTCTTGAAAACATTATCAGCAAACTTTGTTCTATGTTATCCACTTTGTGTCTTTACACCCACTATGTGGCTTATTAGGCTCTCTTTCCAGTTCCGTAAACACTGCACACTCCACACACAGCACGGTAAAGATGGATGAGCAACACCACCCAGTTACTACAGCCACATTTATTTAGAAACAGTGGGGAGAGTTTTTGGAGGTGAGGAATAATTCCAGCCAGCGGTTGGTGCCCAGTTTGAGAAAGAGGAGGGGGACCACCATGGGGCACCTGACAGTGATGAAGAGCATGGGCACATGCTGGCAGATTCATCTTGAGCCACAGCGAGCGAGAGAGGGTTAGCAGGAGAGGCGGTGTGAGAGAGAGAGGGCGCTCAGTAGGGAGGGCAGACAATGGCAGAACAATGGTTTAACAATAAAAACAGCACAGAGTGTTGTCTTTGAGGTTTATTCCGCAGCAGCGAGGCGCTGCAACTCTCTTTTCAACCTGCTGAAAAGAGTGAAGCAGAAAAGGGGAAAAGACAAGGCGAGCGTGTTGTGATTTCTTTTTTTGATTTAGAAATTGACACGGAGCTTTCAAAACATTACCTGCTACATGGCTGGTGTTGGTCAATTACCTGTCACTCACCCCCCCCCCCCCCCCCCCCCCCCACCACCCCTGTGTGGTACTGTGATAGGGTTGGTGCTGATCACATTCCCCAGCTCTCTGCGGTCCAGCCGGCTGTCAGACAGGAGCTGAGCGGTGCGCTGGGATGTAAACCAGTGCATGTCTTTGACGACTGAGAGACGCACACTTCTTGTTTGTATTTATGTATTCAAGCTGCCCTCTGCTGTTCGCGTTCCCAATGACAGGAGATGAAACAAAAGAAAAGCACCAGTTTACCCCCATGTGTAAATGTGAAATGTAATGTTGAATGCATTTGTGTCCTTCTGTTTTAAATGTCCTGGTTGGTTCATATTCTCAGTGTTTTTCATATTCACCTTAAACCCCTTTTGCTATGTGACAAAAGGGGGGGAGTCGGATCTATTATTAGTAATACTAGTACCTAATCAGCTAGATGCAGCTATGGATAAAGCTTTTAGTATTGAATGTAATTTCTTTCATGCTGATGCGTGCTTCACATTTGACAAGAGTTTAGGGGAAGCTGGTCAACCCAGGCTTTAGAGTCAATCCAGCAACGACGCTGAAATGTTTTAATTCTAATTCTTTGTTTTTTTTTCTCCAATTCACATCTTGTGTCATTTTCTGGCAATTAATGTTGGTTCCACACTAAAAAGAAAACCATTTAACAAACTCATATAGTTGTACCGGGTTCACAAATTATTCCCTCATTTCTTTCTTACCAATTATTTTTGACCTCACTAAACGAAACGATGCAATTCTTTCCCTACCTGACAATTAAATTATTGCTGTTATTTTTAGAAATGTGCGGGCTGAATGGTAATACGTTTCTGAAATGCAAGTGGCCCATATGCTAACTAGGGCAACGTATTCCCCCCTTTGCATTAACATATCATCTGAATACAGTTACCTGACACAATTCCAGAGATCAACACAGTTGATGTGTCAGCTCCATGTATGTGTTGGCTTGTAAAATCGGCTGCACTCAAAGTCAAGTGGATGTTAATGCCCCACAGACCCATCTGTCTGATTTCTCTCATAAAGCAGGAGCACATTTGTGCAGAAGCTCTCCTCACATCTTTTAAGAGAAAATTGTGGAGTTTAACCTCCCAATATTATCTCTCCTTTTTTCTTTGTGCAGGGAACAGTCGTATATCCACAAGGAATTCGCCACCCTCCACACAGTCAAGACGCTGATAATCCCAAGTCTTTGACTGCTGATAAGACGGCCAATTTAACATAATTATAAACCAGTAGTATGAATAGTAACGATTCATTAATTCAGTGCATAGAGGAAGGTGATAATTCAAATCTAGCATTTACTCACAATTAACACACATGCTAATGATTTCAATAAATCCTCCTCGGTTTTTGGCATTATAAACATAATTGTTACACAATAAAAAAAACGGTTTAACATAATAAAATCGGAGTAAATGAAATGATGTCTTTGCTGCATTAGAGGGGTTGATGCTGACAAATCCCTCTCTCAATACAAATGCTGTTGACCAACACTATTATTACCTCCACACTTAATTACTTTCTGCTTTTTGGTTTAATTGCTTCAATAAAAAATAATCTATAACGCTTTTTTAATTACACTTTCCGGGTGACCTATGTAAAGAGAATTTTATTATGTGCGCACAGTAATTACTCTGTCACAGTCCAGTTAGGGGCTATTGTCTAACTATCCTTTGCGTAGCTGTTACTGGCATGACCAGCATTCCTAAATACCCACTTACTGAGCTCATAACTTTTTCTATAGTTGCACGGTATGCAAAACACCAGCACATTCGTGCCAGATATTCTAAAGAGGAAGTCCGGTGAAGTGCGGTTTCATCCAGCCAGAGAGTACGCCAAGATGTGAAATATTGAAACAAAAACCTGAAAATAATGTTTCATCAATGCATGAATGACAAATGCTTGTGCCCAAAGGCGAGGGGCAGTAAAATGAAGAAATAATTTATAATGAATGGCTATCCATGTGCAATATATGTTGCTAATGAGTTACTAATAGATACACAATAAATATGTTTTGTTAAATGCCATGCTCACCTGAATGTTGTTGTGGCCCATTATTGCGTTTAGTTCCATCTGGTTAATCATGCAATCAGAGAGCACATGAAGTGTGACAGATTTGAAACCATCTTTTTACTACATGGTCCATGCACTGCTCCACAATCTTTTCATCCATGGATGTACGTCCTTTCTTTACATAAACACTGGCAAGTGTGATCACGTCATGAGAAATCAACAGAAGCACCCTTTCTATGTAGAGACACTGATCAAGATCAATCAAGAAATTCACATATATTGAAATACACAAAAGACCGCAATGCATCCAAACAGGAAAGAAGGAACAAATAGTAAGTATCATAGTAATTGTGTTTATCGTTGCAGCTGTTGGTGTTCATTTGCCTCCCCTCCCCCTATTGGAAAACTGGAGGCTGCCCCTTTCTTTGTATGGGTGGCCTTGTCAGTCCTCATCCGCTTCCCAGCAGCCCCGGCCTTCCAAAGACCTAAAGCTTAACCACCAAGTCCTGGAATGTACTTCCAAGACCAACAGAACCACTGTTGTTCATGGCAAAGTGTTCCGCCTTCAGCTATGTCACCAGCAGAGTAGAGAAACATTTAAGGTAATCAAAGACTGATTCTTTGGTCACATCGAATCCAAGCTCAAACATAAATCCTACCGGTACGAAGATAATAATGTTCATTTTTGATTTATACCGTCACTGCTTTTTTTCACAAATATTTTGGTACTCTTTCATTAAAAACTATGATTGACAATAACATTAGCTGAAATTTCTCTATCATGAAAATTCAATCAGTAGCAATGTTTTTTCAATTATTTTACAAAACACACATTTTACTAAGCCTACAGGATATTTTCCTTAACTATTTTTAAAGAAATGTCAAAGGTGAACAGCAAACGCCAAAACACTTTGCAACTTTATCTATTTAAGCCACGGATCATATGGATCATTTGAGTAGGTTAGAAAATGACCCTGCTGTAACTCGCCGAGCGTGTTGAAAGCAGACTCTTAGAGAAATTCACAATTTCAAGCAGTACCGGGACAGCCTCAAAAATAAAAAAAAAGCCTCAAAGCAGATATATGGTCCTCGGAACCGCTGAGCGAGAGCTGAGTGGGGAGCAGTGGGACAGCCTTGGGACAGGGGGCCCTCTTCATGCTGGCTTGCCAGAGAGATGCCCAAAGCATGAACAATTAGAGGGGTCCCTGGTGCCTCTTTGCTCTCTGTGTGCCTGGTGGGCTGCTCTGTGAGACACTGGGGGGGCTCGGGGAACTGACTGGGCTGGCGGGGCCAGAGGCATAGAGCTAGGGGAGGCATGATCTCAATAATCCTTTTGCCCCCAAGAGGCTGTCACACTATTCACACTGCTGGAAGCTAGAATGGAAATGGACCGAGGGCTTTCTGAGGCTTTTACCTGCTAGAAGAGCTCACCGCTGAGAGACAGAGACGCACTGGGAACTCGCCACAGTTCAAACACAGAGACAACTTCTTTTTATAAAATTGAACCTGCACCTTTGGTTTGAGACGCAGCATTATGGAACAACGGTTTTGTTATAAGTCACTTGCACATACAATGCATATGCAGATCTGTTAATAGACGTCCTGCTTAAGTACTTTCAAACGCATCCTCATTCGAACAAAAATAACTTGATAGGGTTTTACACCCCAAACATATTTTCCTCTCATGAGATCTGAGACTCCTTCGCTTAAAAGATGGAGAGGAAAAGAGCTTTTGCTATTCTTCTCCACAGCCTTTTTCCGCTTTCATTAATTTACAATTTCTTCGTGAAATTCCCTGGACCATGGCATAATCTATTGGCCTGGTGGAGTATATATGATGTAGAATCACCTTGTTGTACAACTTAAAGTGAGCCGTCCCATATGAATATGGCCAGAGTCAAAACCATTGTCCTAATTAGACCGACATGCCTCCGAATGTGAGGGGAAACTTAGTGCAAATGGATAAAGGTCTTTCAGTACTCTGCCACTGCCTGTCTCAGTCCCTTAATGTATTACCACCTGCACCCGCAATCAGCACAGGAACATTTAAATGACTGCGATTCAGGGGAGACCGAGCTCCAAACTGGCTGGAAACACATGAGAGGTGATTTAAGATATTGGCTGTAATGAAGCTGACCGTTGGCGGGTCTGCTCAGAATGTGATGGAGGAAATTAGGGGCGGGAACAGGTCATGGACGTACATATATACCGAGGGCACGGCAGCAAAATGAAATGCAGAGTAGAAGTCTACAGACCAATGTGCTGTTTACTCCGTGTCAGGTAAACATCTTCATGGTGAGCTTTGGGTGTCTGTAAAGATAATATAATCAATGTTTTGTGTTTGTTTTCCAGCAGCTAGAGCATATTGTGCTGTTTCCTTTTCATCACCTCTGACTGCTCTCTTTCCTCAGCACACCCCCGTACAGACTCTACAAAACAAAACAGAGGCAAAAAATGACTTTGCTCGAGGTGGAAAATAACAGATTTTACTCTTTATATATATACATTAACAATAAATGACACAAAACAAACCCAGAAAGTAATAATCCAAACTGTGCTGCAGAATTAGTTTACAGAGTGTGAGTAACAGATAAAGGACAGCCTATGGAGGCACAACGCGGGGAGATGGAAGACAGGCAACATCTGGGTACGGCTTCTCAGACTGATAGCTGCTAACCGATCCCTGTGATTGTGATTGACAGGCACTGACCACCACTCTACTGGCCCTGGCTTCTCCACACTGCTGAGCACAGCAGGTAGTGTGAAGGCTCGCTGAGATTCCCAATAAAATGGACATTACGGGGGAAAAACAACAGCCAGCCTCGCAGAGGTGAATGTTGGGCACGTTGCACTCCTCCATCACGAAATGTACCAGGGTTCACTGACTCTGCACTGTTTCAGGATTGCAGTGTAGAGCCACACTCTA